GAATCCGTCTATGCGTATAATATAGGACCATAAACCAGTGTGATACTAACAGTATGAATGTTTGAAAATTTCGATTTGTCATATGTAACCTTCCACGAAACGGAACTCCGTAATGATTCAGGCTCAATAAATAATAATAAACTATATTATGGTACAGAGAAAATATGTTCAATCTGAACACCGCAATGAGTAGGAAAATATAAGTCCACGAAACCGACGAGGACAAGTGACAGAACGAATTTGGGAAGCTTTGACTGTCCATAAGTTAAACTTATTCCGTGCAACGGAACTCCATAGTACTTCAAGCATGTTTAGTAATATTAGATGATATTTAGGTACATAAAACTGAAGACAACTGTGATGACAGCGATCAGTAGAGCAATATAGGCCATAAATTAGACGATATATACACAACATGAACGTAGGAAATTTTGATGTGTCATATAAAAGGAAATTGCACATTCAGGAACTAAGTAATATTTCAACATCGTGAAATTATATTAGAAGAGGTTTATGAACAAAAAAATGTTAATCATTAAGAACACTGCGATGGTTTCAGTAATATAAGACAATAAAATGAATGTGATATATTGATTATGCGACATATACGTGGAACAATATAATGCAGAAAATCAATATGATATACAAACACAATCAATGTGGAAAATATTGAGTTGTCGTACCATAGGTTAGGAAAGTTACGATATCGTACAGTTTGATACGGTATTGTACGGTATTGTACGGTATGGTAAGATATGGTACGATATCGTATCATATAGTACATTATGGTACTGAACTGAACGGTATCGTTTGGAACGGAATAGTACGATATGGTAAGGTATGGTTGGAATTGGTACGGTATGCTACCGTATGGTACGGTATTGTATCGTATGATACTGTATATTACGAGATGGTACCTTATGGTATTCTAATGCATCGTATTATACGGAACGGTACGGTAAGGTACAGTGTAGTACGGTATTGTATAGTATGGAACAGTTTGGCACGGTTCTGTATCAAATGGTACGTTATGATTACTTATCGAAATTCGTGGTACGGTATTGTACGGTATGGTACTATATGGTACACAACGTTACGTTATGACACAACATAGTACGATATGACACGGTATTGAATCATATATAACGGTATGTTACGGTATTACACCCTGTAGTACGCTACGGTTCAGTATGTTACGGTATGGACCTCTATGTGGGGTATGTTACGGTATGTTATGCTACGGTATTGTACATCGTGGTACGGTATTCTATCGTATGATACTGTATGTTACGTTATTGTATCGTATAGTACAATATGAAAAGGTATGTTACGGTATAGTACGTAATGATAGGTTATTGTATCATTTGGTACGGTATGGTAAGATGTGATACGATATGGTTAGATATGGTACGGTATGGTTAGGTACGGTACGGTGTGGTTAGGTATAGTACGGTATGGTTAGGTACGGTACGATTTGGCTAGGTATGGTACTTATGGAACGGTATCGGATAGTATGGTGTGTTATGATTCCACTCGGTACGGTAATGTATCGTATCGTTCGGTATGTTACGGTATCGTACCGCATGGTCTTGTACTCTATCGTATGGTAAGATGTGATACGTCATGGTATTGTATGGTATCGTATTGTACAGTACTGTATCGTAATGGTAAGGTACGATATTAAATTGTGTGTTTCGGCATTGTATGGTTTTTTACCACGGTACGGTACAGCACGGTTTGGTAAGGTAACTTATGGTACTGTATGAATCTGTATGCTTCGTTAGGGAACAGTGAAGTGCGGCATTTTACGTTATTATGTCATAAGATACAGAATTGTACGGTATTTTACAGTTTGTTTCGGTATTGTATCGTGTGATAATATATGGTACGTTATGGAACATGTTACGCTATGATAAGTCTTGGCAAGGTATGGTTCGATAAGTTAGCGAGTGCTACAGTATGGTATGGTAATTTATTGTATCGTATGATAGGATTTGTTACTCCTCTATACGTTACGGTACGGTATATTGAGGTACGGTGCTGTATGGTGTGGTGTTGTATCTTATGTTATGGCTACGGGGGTTAAAAATCACAACTACACTTTATTGTACATAAATACCATTTAATATTTTTTGTCGAAACTAAAGCGTACGGAATTCCGGTACGTGTAATATGTTCTAAATATGATAGTTTTCCACATACATACTGTCAATATATCTTATCAGTTTTATGGTTATATTATATGGACCTATGCGGGGTTAACCATTTCTTGTACGTAAATATAGTCTAATAATATTTTCCAGGCC